GCTTCTCTCTCTCTCTCCCTCCTTCTTTTATCTCTTATGAATACTGACGTATTCTTTTTGGTATGTTTTGAGCCGAGACTTTAGAATCGGTGTTGTTGTCGGAAAGCCTAAATTTCACCATACGTGGTTTAGTTTATTTCTTCTTCAGAATCAAAAATCAAAAAGCGAAAAGAGTAGGTCTTTTATGTACTGTAAAAAACTGGTGGGGTTTATAAACTTCAAAAAGTTTTATAAACCTGACCAGTTTCTGCTGACAACAAATAAGTGGAGCTGTTTGTTGAGGTGGATGGTGAGAGAATGTAATGGATGTCTTTCTCCCGTTTCCTGTTCCATAAAAATCAAAAAAAAAATTTTTGTACTTTTTGAGCGTCTACGAGTCAGCAAAACAAAAAGTCATTGAAGAAAAGAGATGGGGGAGAAGCAAAAAGTGATGTCGATACAAAAGTCATGAATTTTTTGTGCTTATCATTCTATCAAAAAAAATGGGAAAAAAAAGGAAGAAAAAGGAAGAAAAACTATAACATTAAGCCGATACATTTCTCTTGTTTCTTTAATTAAATTTTTTTTTTTTAGCAAATTGGTTAAGAATAAAATTATGTGTTAAAGAAAAAAAAAGAAGGAAATTTTTGTGCTTTTGCTGTTCTATTCCGTGTTTCAATTAATTGACCGTTGCAGCGATGGATAACCGCTGTGTTTTCTTTTTGAATTCTTTAGAATTTTCTCCATTTTCTTCTGTTTCTGTTGTTGCAGAAGGAACAGTTTTTTGAGTTTTTTCAGTTTTTTTTCAGATATACAACTGTGATTTTCAAAAAATTTTATACTTAGACTTAAACCTTAAGTGAAAAGAAAAACAAGTTTTTTGTTGCTGGAACTGCTGCACAAAAAGACGACAAAGAAGTAAAATAAAAATATAAAGCATCAAAGAAATATCAAAAAAAATTTTTTCTCACGTTTTCTTCTTTTTTTTTTCTACTTTGCTAAATATTTTTAGCTGCTTTTATTAAAAAACAAAAACAGAACAAAGTTTGTTGAGAAGAAGCCTAAGTATTGTCATAATTTTTTCAAAGTATGTGACAAAACAAAACAAAATTTTTTTTTGTGTTTAAATTATTTTTTCTCATTTCATTTAATGCACATCAATCGTTTTATGATTAAATAAAATTTAAAAAAAAAAGCGCAATTGGATTGATTTTTACTGCATTTATTTCACCGTTTTTCTTTCTTTTTTTTTTTTCGTTTTTTTTTTTTTT